TAGCAGGACAGTTATAAAAATTGCTGAGTCAATGTTGCCCAAATAGTTAATTTGCTGTATAACTCCATGATTTCTGCTATCAAGAGCTCCTCCTTTGTTCTGTTCTCTAGCTCTTTGATGTCCCTTGGTTTCAGCATTTTGCTAGAAGATCTCCCAGTGACTAGACCTATCAGAGGAATTACTCATGTGATTATAGATATGAAGGCTGGTTTTGCAGAGACTGATGAGCATTGTAGACTATCACATGAGGACAAGTGTCTGAAAATGATCACTAGCACTGACATTGCAAGAACTTATATAAGTCTCTAGTGGGGTGGGACTTGTTTCCCACCTGATTCTTTCTACTTAATATGAGAAATACTTCAGCACAAAATAAACAGTGAATAAGGATGACAGAAGAATTGATGCTTTTAAGGCATGGTGTTGAAGAAAAGTACTGAAAATACCATGGACAACCAAGAGAATAGATAAGTCTTGGAAAAGGTGCAACCAGAGTGCTCTTTAGAGACAAAGATGATGAGGCTTCACCTCACATACTTGAGGCTTATTTCTAAGAAGGGCTATTCTTTGGAGAGGGACATGATGCTTGGAAAGTGGAGAGTCAGCAAAGGAGAGGAAGACCTTTGACGAGGTGGATTAACATGGTTACTGCTGCAATGGGCTCTAGTGTGTCAGGGGTTGTGGGGATGACACAGGATAGGACAGGGTTCAGACCTGTTGTTCATAGGGTCGCTATGGATCATGTTCAAAGTCACTTAACAACAAGAAGACATACTTCAGCACAAAAATAAACATTTAATCATTGGCTAGGAAAGATATTTTGAATGGAAAACCTGAGATACCACGGAGTGAATCATAATCAAATTATGACTGATGTTTAGAAAAGTTGATAGATCTTCCATGCCAGTGAAGGGGAAAGAGACCTGCCATCACCAGTGAAGAAAATTCACTAGGAAAAAAATAGTCATGGCTAAATGTAGACATGACGTGAGATGAGACTTTGGGGATAGTGGAAAATCCAATATTGGCAGGGCTGAGAACATTGTTGGGCAATTGGGGGTTGTTGTTGTTATGCGCCGTCGAGTCGTTTGCGACTCATAGTGACCCTATGTACAACAGCCCTATACCCTGCTCTATCCTGTGCCAATTGCACTGCCTCTGACAGACCCATACCGATTACCCGAGTCACTGAATCAATCCACCTCATAGAGGGGCTTCCCCTCCTGCGCTGTCCCTCTACTCTACCCAGCATGTTGTCCCTCTCTAAAGACCTGTCTCTCCTTACAACATGTCCAAAGTATGTCAGATGAAGCCCCAGAATCCTTGCCTCCAAGGAGTAGCCTGGTTTAACCCTCTCCAGGATGAATCTGTTTGTTTTCCTGGCAGTCCATGGTACATTCAATACTCTTCTCCAGCACCACAGCTCAAAGGCATCAATTCTCCTTCTATCCTCCCTAGTCATTGTCCAATTCTCTGATGCATAACAAGTGATTGCAAAAACCATGGTCTGTATCAGGCTCACCTTAATCTCCAGAGAGACACCGTTGCTCTTGAGTACTTTAGAGAGGTCCCTAACAGCAGACTTTCCCATCGCAATACGTTTTTTGATTTCCTGGCTGCTGGTGCCAAGAGTGTTGACCGTGGAGCCGAGCAAACTGAAGTTGTGAACAATCTCAATCTCTTCACCATCCATGCTGATGCTACCGATTGGTCCAGTGGTGAGAATTTTTGTCTTCTTGACATTGAGCCTCAGTCTATACTGAAGGCTGTAGTCCTTGACCCTCTGCAGTAAGTGCATGAGGTCCTCCTCAGTTTCAGCGAGCAGGGTTGTGTCATCTGCATAACACAGATTGTTGATAGATTGTCCCGGGACCAATATTGGTATGACTGAGACCTTGAAACATTTAGAGCTATGTAGCTCGATGCTGAGGTGCCTGTGTGCACATTTCTAAAGCTGTCTTGACTGTATTCTGCTATTATTTTGGATTATAACCTTTTGACTCCCCTGATCAGGGTTCTGTGTGGTCTGTGAGCTATCACATCAGATTTTGGACCCAGAAAAGCAGTAAGATTGGTGTTGAGATGAGGTGAAAGAGACATAGGAGTATGGGAGAATATGTCGGACCTCACTAGAATTGTTTTTGTGTTACTGATGCTGCAGACAGGGATAGTTCACATCTATGAAGTTGGTAAAGGTCAGATATGATGCTCCCCAAGTCACCCATTCTTTTTTAAACAGTTGGTGTCAGTGCAGGTTTTGATGTGATGGCTCCAGACTCATGGAAATAATGAATTTTGTAAGAAGTTAGAGGTTTGGGAAGTGCAATTAAATTGACATTTGATGCTGCTAAAATGAGATGAGGCTTTTGACCTGAGGCAGGGAACAGACCAACGTCTGTGAGTCAAATTGTCTGAGGGTGGAAATCAAAGTTCAAACTGTTAATCCCTTTAAAGGTTTATGTGTTAAGGCTTTGTTGACATAACTTCATGAACATAGCTGTGTTTTTTTTTAACATTAATTTAGTAATGTTAACATTTTAGTAATGTTGAGCTCTCTTGGCCTAGGTGCTAAAAACCTGCACTATAATCCTGAAGGCACGAGGTTCAAGTCCACCAGCTGCTTCATAGAAGGATGGGCAATCTCCTCCCTGAAAACCCTCAGGAGGGTCAGCTCCAACTCAGTACACAACATCATAGTAATGTTAAGAGACATTGTAAAAACTGAATACTGTATAATGATATACTGGATTCAGAGAAAGTATGTAAACTTACTGGTTTTGATTGGAAATACTAATAAAAATGGAAGATTTGTCCTGAGAAATGCTTTTTTTAAAGCAGTAGAATTAGAGGGCCTGTAGAAAGATTAAGCCCCACCCAGTATTCTGAGGAGACTTGCATTTGAATACTCTTCCTTGGATTTTTGTGTACTTTTCCAAAGGACTTTGACCTTTTGAAATCAGAACAAGTGTTCTGGCTTCTAATGCAGGGTAACTTCTCAAGGAAGCTGGCAAGTATACTCATGACTACCTGGATCTACCAGAGTGGAATTAAAAGGCATGCAGCAACGGAGCCAGGCTGAGTTTGGACATGTCCCATCAGCACTATCGACCTGGCATGCACATGGGTAAGTGCAGAAGGGTTGCTGACTTTGAGAAGCAGGGAGTCATAAGAACCCTCATCTTACTGACTTGGCCTTATTTGGGGACTGAGTGAAGGGACCAATCGGTCTGGAACATAGGAAGAAGTGTGGGCTCCTGAGTTTGCTACTGATGCTCATTTGACCTTACGCATTTATGGCTTGAGATGAGTTGACCAGGATGTTCCATGCTATAAGCTAGTATTAATGGCTGCCAACATGAGCTCTTGCCTGGACTTTGCTTATGGATGCAAATATGAAACATTTTAACTGGGACAGAATATTCTTAAAAAAAAAAAAAGAATATGGTTGTTTCTTCAGAGTATTGGTTTGATAGGAAGGGGCAAATCATAAATTATCTAAAATGGATGCAATTAAGGCATTAAGTCGCTAGCTTGCATGTTTTTATGAAATAGTTATGATTTTAAGGGGAAACTGGATTGTTAAATGTGAGGGTGATAGCTAGAAAAGCAGAGGGCGGGACATGATGTTTCTCAATCAGCTTTACTAGCTACCCATCCTAATCTGACCCAACCACTTGAGTGGGTGGGACTATCCAAATGGGGAATGCTAGCCTATCCACAAGAGGATTGGCTATCTACCATTTCCACAAGGGGACTGGTGACCAGTGTCAACATTCTTCAAGGGGATTGGTTGGTCTCACCATTGAATTAAGCAAGGCAGGGTGAGAAACACAGATCTTCCCTGCCAATGAAGAAAAACTTCTTGCTACCACTGGAGAAGAAACCTCACCATTAGGATAAGAGCAGCCATCACCAAACCAGAAACATGACTTGAGATGAGGCCATGGTGGAGAGTGGAGCTAATACTGGCAGGACTGAGAACATCATTGGACAATTGGAGGGGAGAGCCAATATTGGCAGGACTGAGAATTTGGAAACACTCAGAGCCATGCATGAGACTTGAGGCTGAGGTGCCTGTGTGCACATTTCTGGAGCTATCTTGACTATTTTCTGTTATTAATCTGGAATTATAACCTTTGACTCCCCCACACCCCCTCCAAGAAAAATGAGAATCTGAGAACATTTGATTGTGCTCATGTGAAACTTAAACCTAGACTTAAGGCTGTTTTGCCAACAGAGTAGGAGAACACTACAGGAATTTTTTATTTTGTTTTGAAATATACCTTTATTTTTTGTTTGCATACAAAATTTGTATACATTGTATTTTATTTATATAGTTTCACATATTCCTTCATATACAGTGTTTATATAATTTCTATACATTGTGTTTTAGAAAATTAATCACCATTAATCTATACTCACTTTTACCCCATCTTTTCAGGTCTATGTTTGGATATTTCCTAATTCCTTCACCCTATCTCTCAGCCCATCAAATTCTGTCATCTCATTGATTTCCTCTCTCCACAGTTGGTCTCCTTAGTCCTTTCCCCTTTGGACTTTTATATACATCTTACTAGTTATCCTACAGAGTGCGGAAATCATTGAACAATTCAATAATATCAGATGCTTGCTGAAGATTATAAAAAAAGGACTAATACAGTATGTCGAAAGAGAATTGCCAGAAAGACAAGCTGAGTTTAGAAGAGGCAATGGCCCTAAGGCTATCATTTTCAATCCATGAATTTAGATGGGAATAGAAGAAATCTAATTCTGCAGGTGGCTATGGAGATGACTTCTACCCCAAATGGGATCTCAAGTCTATCAAAACGTGAGCTCCTGCTGAAATTTTTCCCCCAGCATGAAGGTTTATGTGGACCTTCTGAGGTCTAACAAAGCTAGACTTATGAATTAAATTTTCACAAAGGGGACATTTATAGGGTTTTTCATGTGTGTGGACCTGGTGGTCTCTAAAAAGGCCTGAGACATTAATGAAAATTTTCTCAGATAGGACATTTATAGGGTTTCTCACTTGTATGGACCCGCTGGTGCCTATTAAAGTTGGACCTGTGATTGAAACTCTTATAACAAAGAGGACATTTATAGGGTTTCTCTCCTGTGTGAATTTTCTCATGGCGGCGTAACCCATACAAGTCCCTGAAGCCTTTCCCACAGTGATCACACTTGCAAGGCTTCTCTCCTATGTGAATTCTCTGATGCTTCACAAAGTCTGACCTCCGCAGAAAGGCTTTCTTGCATGTGGGGCACTGAATATATGTGTCTCCAGTATGAGCCCTCTGATGAAACACAAGCTGAGAATTCCTATAGAAGGTTTTCCCACACTCTGTACAGGTGGGGAATTTCTGGGTTGTGGAAGGTCTCAGCTGGCCCTTATGCGAAGTCTCTTGCTTCTGCTCAAGCCATAGCACAGACAGGTCTCTTGGGTGAGCATCAGGCAAATGCTGGTCTAGCTGTTTCCCAGAAACTCTCTCCTGAGGAGAAAGGTGCTCTCCTGTCTCCTCACCTTGGAGGTGTCCATGTATCTTAAGGAGATTATCTCCTTTTCCAAAGCATCTTTGTTCATTCTCATCAAAGAAGGCACTCAAAGAACCCTGAGGAGGGGCCTCTTCTGAGATGTGACAAGGGGCATCTGGAGGCTCCTGATGCAAACAAGTTTTAAAGTTTAGGTTCTCTTGGCAATTCTCCTGCCTGTCTCCTAAAAGAAGAAAGAAGACGTGAACTACTGAAGTAAATTTTGTACCCATTTTTTCCTTTATATACCAAGTAAAAACATCATAAAACAAGTTTGGGTTTTTTTTTTTTCACCAAGAGGACATCAATGAACAAGGGGTAATAACCATCATCCATACTGAGGGCCAGGCACAACATAAATTTGCCCTGCTTTCCGGACTGTTTTCCATTCTTTAGCTGAGAAGAATTTCTGAGAAACAAATCAGGTCCCACTGCTTTCTGTCAAACTTAAAGCAACAGAAAGTAAACATAAGTTTTACAGACATAAAACCTGCTCCACAAGCTTTTCACTGGCTGAGCTCTTCACAGGTAGATATCAACGTGCTTTTCATAGGCACTGCTTCGTGGACTCATGCCTGACTTTTCAGTTGTAGCTGAGTGTTCAAATGGTCCCCACCATTCAAGGCTTCAAGCTCCACATACCTAATGTCAGCCAATTTATGTAACGATGCCATCTTTTGGAGTGTTTACTATCTAAGAATAGTAATAAAGTGTTTTTAACTTAAATATTTGCTACTTGGTTAGCTGAACACTGATTTTTCATTGTTTCAAATTTTAATTTCTTAAGTATTCAAGTACGAAACTACTTGAATACAGCAACTTACACACAACAACCACCAAAGCTGCCCAACTGCTTTAAATAAGAAAGGCCAGAAATGTCTCAGGACCAATGGAAGTTGACTCACCTCTGCAGATGGGTGCAGGGATCTTCTCACTGGCATGAAGGGGGAGTCCTGCCAACTCTTCCCCATACTCTACTGAATTAGCTGGTTCAGGTTTGGGAATGGAAGTGCCTGGCACAGAGAAAATTTAGCTTGTGAACCTGTGTGAGCAGGGAGGACACTGAGTGCATGCTGTGTCTTTCAAAGCATCCTCCTAATCAATATGAAGGACACCATGAAGGTCCTGGATCCTGTGACATAACACTCATCTTAGAAGGACATGGGGCCTTTCACACTAGTTCTCACAAGATGCCAGGAAATATGCTGTAAAGAAGAAAACTCAGAGTCTGAGAAGGTGGATAGAAGTGTCTGTAGATTAGCTGCGAGGATGGGGCTAGTCTAGTGTCATGGCTGACCCACCAGTCAGGGAGAGGCAGGGTAGTCTGGTGTAAAAGAACACTTGGTCTAAACCAGCTACACTGAGTTCCATCCTGACTCAGGACTTAGGAGGCACGTGACAGAGCTAGCAACTTGATCTGACATGTTCAATATGGGACATATCCACTTCATAGGGGTGATGTGAAAAGAAAGTAGTTACTGTATGCACTGCACCCACTGGAGCTCTAAGAATTGAATGCAAGCTAGTTCTTGCTATAGCCCTGCTAGCTTTCACTCACCCTAGTTCCCAACCATTTCACTCCCTGAGAACTTCAGCCTGTACTTGTATAAACATCACCTAAGAATTCTTAGTCCTTCCATCTCCTTCCACTGGGTAAGCCATGCCCTCACCTCCTGAGACCATTTTCTCATAGTTCTCCAGCATTAGGTTCCAGTAGTGCTCCTTCTGAGTAGAATCCAAGTGCCTCCACTGCTCCTGGAAAATATACAATGTCATGACCTTAAACATGGTTCCAAAGGAAGGTAATTGACACTGTCTAGAGGAAAAATGAAAAGGAATGAATGTGCCAAAGGAGCCTAAGCGTCAAAAGATCTGAGAAGCCCTGGGAGAGAGATTAATGGTAGAAGATGCCAAGAACAAAACTACAGTTCCTATTGTTGTACTTCTTGTTCAGAGTTGAAATCATTTAAGTTTTATTCCCCCCCAACATTATTTTTTCACTCTTTAAATAATTTAATGTAAGAATGTCACATTCCCAATATTTAAGTGAAATCTAGAAATTCAGGGGAGAAAACAAATGAGAAGGAATTTGTTGGCAGTGCAAATGTGCCAAATAAGGGGAATAATCAACACTGAAGTTGACTGTGTTTAAGCCCCATCCAGAGACAAGACTGGGGTATTCAAAGAAAGGGCAACACATCTCTGTGATCTCTCAAGAATTCCAAGTTTAGGGTGTAAGACTTATCCAATGGATGGGTTGTCATAAATATGATAGCCTCACATATCCTCTAAAAGGAAAGTTTTATGGTGTCTTAGTGGTAAGGAATTTCACTGCCAACCCAAAGGCAAGCAGTTCAAAACTACTAGTTTCTCTGTAGGAGAAAGACGGGCAATTTCTTTTTTTTTTTTTTCCATAAGTTTATTCTTATGTACAGAAGAGTCAGTGTGTACATCAGCCCAGTTTGGTGGCGAGTTCCTTGGCCTTGGCCTTCTCCAGCTTGGCGATGCGGGCCACTGACTTGGGCCCCAGGACATTGCCTCCCCAGTGGCGGCGGATCTCATCGTATCTGTCATTGTAATTGGTTCTGATGGCTTCTACCAACTTGGCCAGAGCGCCTTTATCTTCCGGGTTCACCTGCGTGAAGGCAACAGTGGTGCAGGTCTTCCGGTGGACGAGGCGGCCCAGCCTGGCCTTGCCCTTGATGATGCAGTAGGGAACACCCATCTTCCGACACAAAGCAGGCAGGAAGACCACCAGCTCTATGGGGTCCATGTCGTGTGCGATCACCACTAGCTGGGCCTTCTTGTTCTCCACCAGGGTGGTGACTGTGTTCACCCCTGCACGGAGGACGGGGGGTCTCTTGGTGGGGATGTCTCCCTTGCCAGCAGCCTTCTTCTCAGCCCGGGCCATCAGCCTCTCTTTCTTCTCCTTCTTGGTCTCTGGTCTGTACTTGTGGGCCAGTTTCAGCAGCTGAGTAGCTGTCTGGCGGTCCAAGGCCTGGGTGAACTGGTTAATGGCGGGTGGCACCTTGAGCCGTTTGTACAGGATCGCCATCTGCCGCTGCAGCCGGATGTAGCGGGGCCATTTGACGAAGCGGGTAAGGTCCCTTTTGGGTTGGATGTCCTGCCCGATGCCAAAGTTCTTGGGCCTCTTCTCGAACAGGGGATTCACCACCTTCTTGGCCTCCTGCTTCTTGACCACGGTGGGCGCCGGGGCCACCTTCTTCCCCTTGGCCTTCTTTCCCTTCGGCATCTTGAGCGAATGGGCAAAAGAGAAAAGGGGCAATTTCTTTCCATGTGATTTACAGACTGAAAACCCACTGGAGAGTCAGCTATGGGTAGTTCCAACTAGACAGGTCATAACGACAACAAATGGAAGTAGAGTGAGCTCTGGTGGCCTACTCTGTAGGAAATTGAACTGACAACTCTGGTGGTTCAAATCCACTGGCAGTTCCACAAGAGAAAGTAGGAGAGTCTCCCCCTATGCCATTCTTAATTTCCAAAAGCCTGCTGGAGAGTCAGCTAAGTGTCAGTCCTGATTCAACAACAATGAGTTTGAGTTATACAGAATTACAGACTCAAAGAGGAAGTCCTACTACCTTCTGATTCTATGACATTCAGTAAGTGGTTAAATTTCTCTGAGCCTTAGTTCTCACCTTAATTTTTATCGAGAACAGGAGGAAAAGAATGTTTACACATTCCTTCTCCTTTTTTAACTATTTTATGAAAAACTGTGCTTTTAATTCAAAGTAATCATCAAGTTATTGGTGTTGTTTTTATCTGTATAGTTCCCAACATCTCACAGTGATTATATGAAACAAGAGGGAGTAAGGAAAATAGGAGGAGTTGAACAAATAAAGGCCAAAAAAATTTCTTAAATCTCCTGAGAACTATAAACTCACATCCAAATGAATGAAATCTAGGCATAACTTTCAGATTCACTGCAATCAATATTTTAAAACAGTGAGAAAGTGATAAAACAGTTAAATAAGCAAGGAAAACACATTACTTTCAGACCAAAGAGAACATACAGTATCATTCCATTATATATAAAATCCTACAAAATGCAAACTAATCTATGGTGACAGATCAGTAGTTGACCAGAAGGGGAAGGGAAAGGGCAGACAAAGAGAGATGCATGGTAAAAGCACAAAAGGAAATATAGGGGTGATGGAAATACTCATTATTGACAGAGCAAAGACCAGTGGATGGCTTTAAGGAACAGAAATTTATCCTCCTCCATTTTAGATAGTTAGAAGTTCGAATTTAAGCACTAGCTCTACAAGAAGGTTTTCCTCTCTGTCAGTTCTGGAGAACAGTCCATGTCCCTTTTCAAAATCTGTGGGCCAGGCAATCCTTGGTGATGTACCTGTGTCTCAGCCACTTTGCCCTAGGCCTATGAGGTTCTCAGCACAGGACCTGAATCTTTGTTCTTAGTGTTAGTAAATGTCTTCCTTCTCTAAATTGCTTCCTCCTCCTTTTCTCTCTCTTATGAATGTTGTGGCTTCAAGATAAGATTTGTCTCATCACAAGTCTTTTCCACCTTTGTTCAGGGTCTGGATCCCCCTATTCTAAATGGCAATTAGAAAAACATTTTACCTTGAGAAAACATGAGAGTAATACTGAAATTCAAGTTTCTCTTCATGTGTATGGTTCCTGTTATCCACGCAAGGCCCTCTTCTCCACTGCACTTCTGAGAATGCCCTCAATTCAGTCCTCCTGACTACTGGTGAATGCTCAAAAGTGGTTTAGAGCTGCTCTTCGTGGCGCCTCTGGGGCAATCGGTTGCTTCACCAATGAAGCTGAACATCTCCTTCTCAGCCACTGGCTGCCAAAAACTCACTGAAGTGGATGATGAATGCAAACTATGTACATTTTATGAAAAGTGAATGGCCACAGGAAGTTGCTACTAACTCTTTTGGTGATGAGTGGAAGGGATATGTTGTCCAGATCAGTAGTAGAAACAACAAACAAGGTTTTCCCATGAAGTAGGGTGTCTTTACCCATGGCTGAGTTTGCCTGCGGCTGTTACAGACCATGGAGAATTGGAGAGAAGAAGCGAAAATCTTTCCGGAATTGCACTGTGGATGCCACTCTGAGTGTTCTCAAATTGGCTATTGTGAAGAGAAGGGAAAAGGAAATCCCAGGACTGACCGATACTACTGTGCCTCATCACCTGTGGCCCGAAAGAGCCAGCAGAATTCGCAAACTTTTCAGTCTCTCTAAGGAAAATGAGGTCTGTCGCTATGTTATAAGAAAGACACTGAACAAAGAAGGCAAACCCAGGACCAAAACGCCTAAGATTTAGCATCTTGTTACTCCACATATTCTGTAGCACAAGTGCTGGTGCATTTCGCTGAAGCAGCAGCATACTAAAAAGAACAAGGAAGAGGTTGCACAGTATATTAAGCTTTTGGCCAAGAAAAGGAAGGAGGCCAAAGAAAACTGCCAGGAACACATCACCAAGAGATGGAGGCTGTCCTCTTTGAGAGCTTCTAACTCCAAATCCAATCAGAAATAGAATTTTCATGTGGGGCAAAAAAATAAACCCACATATTAAATCTCAAACAAAGAAAAATGTGGTTCTGAGGCAAGAAGAGCAGAGAAACCTGGCTCACCTGAAAAGACACTTGGAGTAGTGATGCTCCAGAATCTTGGTCACTGATGAGCCTTTCCTCAGGTTGGGCAAGAAGCTGGGGAGCAGCTATCACTGAAGTGAGAAACATACGTTTTAAGAATCTAGTATTCCTCAGTCATTCTTCAGAGGGGATTGTTTAAAAAAACAAAAACAAAACCAATTTGGCATATTAAGACTGATACTTTAATCCACAATTTCAAGATTTTTACTTGTATCACTAAGAAAGTCCAAATCCCACTAACATCCCAAAAAGCCTCACCCACATATTCTCTCCCTTCCTTGTTCAAGTCCAAAATCCAAATGCTCTAATGCAGCTATAAAGTGGTTGAAAATGCAAACATGGAATCTCCTAAACAGAGTGACTTGTGCACATCAACCTTGTTCCCAAACATGGACACTGCTATCTGAACACACTTTTAACTCAGATAGCCAAGAGCCTAATTTTCTCCAAGAGGCCCCCAATACCACCAGGAATAAGAATTGGCCCTCACCTAATTCCAGCTCAGTGTTAGGTTCCTCTTTGATGACATGGCTCAGTTGCTCTCCAGGCCCTGAGGCTGAATTCTGAAGTCCCAGCTCCTGAGGCACCACTTCAAGACTGGCCTCTGCCTCCCTCACTTGGCAGCTTGCAGATTCCACCTCCTCAGGTAAGCTTTCCTGTCCTAGAACCTGGCTGCTGATCTAAAGACCATTTATTACTAGTTACTGAAGGATGCTGACTTGGGATTCCTGAAAACATGAAGTGAATCTTCTAAAACAGATTATAGGACAGTTCTAAGGAAAAGATAGCCACTTGCATTTTCTTATCCAGTAGGTATTTCTAGCCATTGATGAGACCCTAACTGCTGACACTAAACCAGGCCTGCAAGACCTTTAAGAAAGAGCTCTAATACAGGGTTTTAATTGTACAGTCTGTACCAGTTAAAACTTAAAACAAATGCAAACTTCTAGTGTTAAGATTATGGAATGGGAGATTGTATCTTCAATTCCTAATAGCTAGAGTGTTGACTAACACGTAAAGGGAAATACAAAAAGCAGCTGTGAATAGGGTTAATTCCAGCAATACCATGAGCAGAAATGCTTTTTAGGTTTTTCTTAGCAATAGTCTGCGGAAAGTATAAGACAAGATCTTTCTTCTAATGGTGTCACTTGATGGGTTCAACTATCCACATTTTGGTTAGTGGTCAAGTACAAACATTTGCACCACCCAGGGCCATGAGAGGCACACAATGCCCTATATGGGACACCCCAACAGGACCCTAGGTCCCAATACGCTCTGCTTACCCACTGCCACAGTCTCCGGGGATTGCCCTTCAAGCTCTCCACTAGTGTCACAGCCTCCTCTCCACTATTAGGACACTGCGCTCGCACCCACATCTGGATCTCCCCGGGCAGGATGGTCAGAAACTGCTCCAACATGAGGAGCTCCAGGATCTGTTCTTTGCTGTGAACTTCTGGCTGCAGCCACTGGAAACAGAGCTTCCGAAGTTGCCTCAAGGTCTCGTGGGGCCCAGACAGCACCTGGTACTGAAAGCGTCTGAAAAGTTGCCGGGCAGCTTCAGGGTTGGAGAGTTCCCAGTGAGGAGCAGCATTTAGTCCAAGTGAGGGGTCCTCTGCCTTTGCCAGTGGTGGCACCTGGACCAGGGCCTGTCCCAGCTCCAATGGCATCATCAGGCTTGCCAAGTTCTTTCACGTCAACAAAGTCCTCTGGACGGTATGTTTCTCTGGAGAAAAGCAGGTATTCACACTGGCTATTGTGAGACACTGGGGAAGGAAGGAGATTTGCTGATGTACAGAATAACACAATTTTAGAAACAAATTCATATGCCCCACCGAGAAGCCTTGAACTCAACCATGGATCTCTGAAACTGGCAAAGGATTGACAAAAAGAAGTGGTACTGAGATGGCTCCAACTCATATGGACCTCACATTTCTCAGACTGGAGCTGTGCTCCACAGTGCTGTCCAGGGTTGCTTAATTACTGAGATGTAATCACTGGGTCTTTCTCTCAAGATTGTTGCTATGTGCCGTCGAGTCGTTTCCGACTCATAGAGACCCTATGCACAACAGCCCTAAATCCTGCTCTATCCTACGCCAACCGCACCGCCTCTGACACACCCATCCCGATTACCCCAGTCACCGAATCAATCCATCTCAGAGAGGGTCTTCCCCTCCTGCACTGTCCCTCAACCCTCCCAAGCATGATGTCCCTCTCCAAGGACCCGTCCCTCCTGGCAACATGTCCAAAGTATGTCAGACGAAGCC